TATGGTAATTAACAGAACATAATAAAATAATATTGAAAAAAAAAAGAGAAGTGGCCTAAATAGAGGAACAGAGTCTTTGTTTACTTTTCTTATGTAAAATCCATCTGCTTAACCCTATTGCAAAGTAGAATTATAGAAGATTTTATCAAAGTCAAAGGAAAACAATTCAACTTGTGGTATGATTATGAGTATCAGTTAATATACCAAATTATATTTCATTACACTGGCAAAAGCATCTTTAGCATACTACTCAAAAAATGGGAAGTCAGGTAAAAAAGAACTTGGTGGTAGTTGAGGACACTGAGAAATCAGATACCATTTCTATACTTACCTCAGAACGCTAGGTTCATTCATTCATTTATTTAGCAAATGTCTATTGAGCAACCACCATTTGCTAGTTCTCTTCTGTCAAATGTGATTACAATAGTACTCTTGTTCCCTCATGGAGGATATACTCCATTGGAGGAATAGTCAGTAAAAAATATATATAAGTAAAAATATGATATGTTAATGATTAGTGCTAAGGAGAAAAACTGTAACAGAAAAAGGGGTGGGTGTTGTTTTGGTTTGTTGACGTAGGGAGGTAGAGAGGCTGAGGAAAGTCTCATTGGGAGGATGCCTTTATGCAAAGATCCAAAAGAACTATTGGAGTACTCATAACATCATAATAGAGTATTACAGAAAAGGGGAGATGGGAACGGAAATGCTGTAGGGCAAGGATGCACCAGGTTTGCACCAGGTGTGTGCCAGGAATAGCTAGGAGGCCAGTGCAGCTGAAATAGTGCACAAGCAAGGGAGAGTCCCATGAGATGTGGTCACAGAGGTGAGTAAATAGGGCAGAGGCACAGGCAGGTCCTACTGGCCTCAGGAACCAGGGGGACTGTAAGTTTCACTTAGTGTAAGATCAGAAGTCAGTAGAAGATTCTGAACTGCTAGGTGATGTGTATTGACTTTTGCTTTAACAGGCTCCCTCTGGTAGCAGAGTTAAGAACAGACTATGTAAGAAGCACATGTAGAAGGAAGGGCCTCTCTCTAGTAAAACTGTCTCATGGGAACTTTTTATGTCTTTTGATAAACTTTTCTTTTGTCACCTCCTTTACCTTAAAATTCTCTGCCCACAAGGGCGGCAGAGAGAGAGAGAGAGAGAGAGAGAGGCAGAGACAGAAAGAGAAAGAGAGAATGTGCATGTGTGTGTTTCCTGGAATGGTTCCTAGGACTCTTTCCCTTCTCCTCATTTTTCTTTTCCATATTCTTTCTCAAGTTTGCCACCTAGCCTCTGCTCCTCCTTAGCTTTTCATCTGTTTCCATTTATCTATATTTCCATTTGTGAAATGAGAGGGGGTAGGGATATGGGGTCTGAGGAAGAAGCAGAGTGATTCACGGTCAGTCCGGTTTTTTGTTCACATATGTAGTGCTCGCTCACTAAGTAGATGTTTACAATATAATTATACTTTTCAGATCACAAAGTTCCTATAAGCCTTATAAATTCAAAATATACTGAAGAATAAAGATGAAGACACAGCTCAACTATAATATGATAAATTTCAGGTTACTTACTTCCTTTGTAGGAAAGTTCTGTTCATGTTTTTGATGTTTTCTTTCTTCTGTTGTGTTTAATTTTATTGAATTAAAAACATAATAAACTGAGGATAAGAAATATTTTCCTTTCACCTTTGTTATAAATACCTCCCAGTTTATTATTTGTGTTTACAGTTTATTACTTTGGTATAGATGTATTTAGGAAATTCCATTCCTCTGCAATATCTTTTATTATTTATTATTTGGGAGGGCATTGAGAATGATTTAATTTTAAAATATACCAAAACCTAATTAACCCATCAGTAGATATAAGAAAATAGTGGAAGAAGGGAAGTAATATGAGTGCAGACACCCAAGATTAGAGTGAAGTCAGTTTGGATTTGAACACAAGGACGCCAGCATTTTAATGGTATCCTCTGACCCACTCAGCATTAAGTCTCCATTTTTCTCCTTTTCCTCTTCCTTCTGAAATATCTGCCAAAACAAATGGCCTCTCTGCCATAACTGTAGGCATGAGCTGACCCACGGGTACCCCTGTGGGACATGACAAAAAGTTCAGAAGAAAGTTTATAAATCTTACTCCAGAATGGATGCTGGGCACATTGATTATAATCTATGTACTGTCAATTCCCAGGATCCTAACCTCAATCAGTTTAGAGCTGGCACTACATGTAATCTGCAGGTGTTTCTGTGTGCCCTGTAGTGAGAGAGTACTCTGAGTTCTCAATGTGTGGTACTACAGCATCACTGTGGTAGAATGCTCTTTCTTACTCTGGATTTCTAACAATTCTAAGAAGTCACACAAAAAAGCAGAACCATATCCCTAGACACTGAAACAGTAGGGAGATTAAGGATCCTTAAATTATTATAAACTCTTGCAAATCAATACAGTAAAAACAAAACCCCAATTAGAACATATTTTACAGTATATCCTAAGTGATTCTTTCTGATCTCTTTAGGATAATGTCAGAGCATATGATGGGTTAAGAAAGTCACTATTGCTTTCATGTTCAATGAGAAGTCTGAGTTTAAATATAAAGATTATATAAATATGAAACTAAATCAAAGAAAACATATTTATTAAACATAATCGAAAGACATTAGACACAAACTGTTGCCAATTAAGTTCAAGGTCTATTTCAATATGTCTTTCTATAATCAATCAAGTTTCTTTCTTTTCAAGGGTATTTTTAGATGTGGTGACCTCAACAAAATCTCTGCTGGAGATTTTAGGCTTCAGTCATCAGTTTCAACATCTAGTTCACATCCAGGTCTCCTTCCATTTTCAACCTGTAGGCAACTGACTATCTAGTTGCTCCTTGGCCAACACAGGAAGGCAAGGATACACACACATACATACAACTTCAAGACCTAGGTCTCTTGTCCCAGGGTGCCTATATCTTCAGACATCACTTCTTCTTCAGGGCATTCAGAGAGCTAGTGCTTGATCACCTCAGAGTGACGTTCATTGCTAGGCAGGCTTCCCATGACATGTCCCCTATACAGGGCTCTCCTTTTAGGAAAATGGGAAAGTCTCATCTCCCTATTGCTCCCCTGGCCAGGCTTCCTATGGGTCATGTTCGTAGCCAGGCATTCTTTTAAGCTCTGCCGAAGTTCTCGTACTGTCTGGAAGGCGCTTTATTCTGGCACCCCACGTCTGTTTTGGCTACATGGAAATCAAATAGTCACTGACATTAGTTTTTTGGTCTTCATCATGGTAATTAAATATTCATTTACAGATACCTTGGGGTGCTTTTTAGTACAACTTTCAATGCTAAGTAGACAGCCATCTGCAAGTCCCAAAAACCAAAGAAAGGAAGACAGCAAGAGTTGTATCTGGGTGGGCCAAGGACCAATCGAATCTGAATTAAGTTAACATACTGAATGGTCAGTTACATGCTTTACAGGAAGGTTTCTAGGTCAGTTGACTGGGTGGCCACTAGTCTATTTGGTTGTATGATCAATCTGCTTACTCAGGCTGTCCTTTCCTTCCATACATCCATGGCTGAAGGTTCCTATGTCAACTCACAATTACTATCTTCTCCAATTATTTTTTAAACTTAGAAAATTTCCCCACATCCAAGGTATTTCTTTGATATTCAGGATTTCATTAGTTTTTTATTTTGTTTATATACATAACCCAAATAATTCCTTAAGTAATTTTCTCTGTTTTAATTTATAAACTATCCTTGTCAAAGGGAAAGGAAGAGAAGGAAAGTGACATGTAAAATTGTTACTCTGGCTAAAAAGGAAGGAGTGTGTGTGTGGTGTGTGTGTGTGTACATGTGTGCGCTCATGAGCATGTGTAAGAGAGAGAGGAGGTATAGTGAGCTTTTGTGTTTATTTCACTTAATTCTTTTTTTTATTATTATATTGTTAATCACCACACATTACATCATTAGTTTTTGATGTAGTGTTCCATGATTCACTGTTTGCGTATAACACCCAGTGCTCCACGCAGAACGTGCCCTCTTTAATACCCATCACCAGGCCAACCCATCCTCCCACCCACCTCCCCTCTAGAACCCTCAGTTTGTTTTTCAGAGTCCATCGTCTCTCATTTAATTCTATCTGAAGAGATATCTCAGTTTAGAGGAAAATGCACTGAACTGGGAAGCACAAGTCCTGATTCTACATTCCTTCTAGTCCTGCTTCTGTCACCAACTGAGACAGCCTGGGCAAACCACATAGCCTATGTGTCTCAGTTTCTACATCTGCCTTCTGAATTTGCATAACATGATGCTCTAATAGTATAATATACATCAAAGCAGTAATGCTATAGAGTTTCTATAAGTGTCCAACAATTACTAAGCAATATCACTATTGTTCTCATTAGCATGTATTTGTGCCCAATTCTGGTTTCATCCCACTGACTATAATCCTGTTACTGCCTTCTCCTAGTTTTTGTTTCTTTTGGGGAAGAAGCGTTGCTTTTTGCTTCTTTGTAAATATTTCAGGCAAATTACTGTCCTATTGTTTGATATATCATCACAAGACCCTACTCTCTTAGGCTTCCAAAAAGACCAATAAACAGTGTGTCAATTTCTTACTAATGTGTATGCCAGCTCAATACAAATCCTCCTTTTATTTGTGATAGAGGCTATCAGCTTAGAGAGCCTTGAATTTATTGTCTGAAGCAGAGTGGTCACTCTGGTGGAAATGCAGGTCATACACATACTCAAAAGCCAAAATGGGATTCATAAGGGAGATGAACTTGGACCGCTGAGAAATGCCGCCCTCGTTTCAGACCACAAGGTAGCCAATTCTATGCCTAGCATGCACTGAGCTCTATCCTGGAGAGTAGACATATATTAATAACGTTAACAACAACAAATATGAAATGTGCCATTTCAATAAATTATAAACTCTAAAAGCAAACTATATTGATTTTGACCCAGATTCCATAATAAATGGAGAATATGCAAACAACAACAAAAATATATACATATATGAATACTTACTGTACTGACAATTTCTTCCCATGAATTCACCTGGGCACTCACAGGAATAGTTAGCAACAAGATCTGTACATATTCCACCATTTTTGCAAGGCTCAGCTTCACATTCATTTATGTCTGAGGGAAACAGAAAGAACAGAGAAAATGAGAATTATTGGTAAAAAAATGATTTTAGTTATTGGAAAGTTTTAGGCCTTTCAAGTAAAACAAATCTAAGTAATGTAATTACTTTTGTGTGTTTGTGAGTGTGTATATGTGTGTTCAGTCAATAATAGAAATAGTGCTTAAAACCAACAACTGATTAATAATCAAGTTCAAATGGAATTGAGAATCCAAATGAAAGACCAACAAAAGCAAACTTTCTCCAATCCTGAAAATAAATACGAATAGTGTGGGGAAATATTCAGTGTATCTTTAGAATTAAATCAAGCAAATTAACCCTGATAGAGAGATGAATTGGTATCTCTTACAAGATCTAGAAACCTCCCCTGCAGCAACAACTGCCAATTAACACTGTCTCATTTCATTTTAATTCATTAAAATTCCAACTGACAGAGATGTTTTAGTTTCTAAATAGTTTGCCTTTGATGAATGCAATGAGAAGCAAATTAGAGTTAATAGCTAAAGCTCGTTACATTAAGCAAAGTATAATAAATGTAAATGATGATCACTTCCTAATCTCATTCAAGGGTTTCTAAAATTAGGATGACTAAAGGGACTTACCTTTGATATACCATTATTATACCTCATGCAAAATCATATGACATATAAAACATTCAGTAAATTGTACTAATTCCCATGCTAATTTTGGACAACAGATACAATGGATATAATGAATATGATTATAAATGAAAAAAGAAATAATGACTAATTCAGTCAAATATCCATCACTGATACACATCATTCCCTCTAAGCACAGCACCATGCTAGGTTGTGTGGGAACTAGTAAGTAGATGGATAATAAGTAACTGCTCCCCATTGCTTTCTCTTCCTGTCACCTACTTCTATTGAACTCTCTCTCCTCTCTCCCACAGCTCCTTACAGACCAGAATAGTATTACCTAGGAACTGTCTGTATCTGTGCCTTTCACCCTCTCACCTTAACTGTGAGCCCTACAAATGTAGCCCCTGTCCTGCACTGTTCTTTGTATCTCCATGAACGCCACATGCTATCTGGGAGACCACTGGTACCAAAAAATGTTTCTAGATAAAATTTTTAACAAAAGATCAGAAATAGTGGCGCAGACAGTCTAAACAAATAGTTTCAGATGTGTAATGGACCTTCTAATACACTACAAAGTATCAAAACGGTATTCTGAAGTCCTGGGTTTTCATAGTGCTTAAAGCATTATGATCATTAAATTACCCCTTCAAGACCAAACAAGAACAAAACACTACAAAAGCTCTATTTTGCTCTTTCTTTTAACTTTTTTTCTTCTAAACAGTGTCTCCTCTTGGTATCAGAGTTGGTCACCCTCTCATTTTAAGCTTACTGTAAAAGTTTGGTCTAAATTTCCTTAGGCAGATGATGACTTTCCCTGAAAAAGCCATCCTTTTTTTGATTTCTGGTTGACTGTCACAGTTTGAGAGTAGAGAAAGTTCATAACTATGTTCAGAAAGAATCTAAATAATTTGAGTATTTTATGACATCAAATAACAGGATAAAATCAGAATCTGATAATCTCTAAAAATACAAATACGTGCTATAAAATATAACAAACTCCCAAATATTTGAAACTAAAACTCTCCAGAAGGAAGAAGGGAGGGAAGGAAGGAGCCATTTATTCATTATCTGATGAAACATTTAGCTCTTTTTAGTCTTAATCAAAATTTCACTTAGTGTGGATTTATACTGGACTAACATGCAAAATATTTTCATTATGTTTTGAAAGTAGCACAAAAGTCACTGTGCTATTTATTTTATAGTCAGCTGAATGTAAGGCAACAGCAATAATTGGCTACTTGGGAATATGCCTACTATGTCTTTCCCTGCATCATATTGACTACAATCTTTTTTTAGATGAGAATATGTCAATAGCTAATAAGTTAAATCTTCATGTTAGAGAATGCATTGCCTTATTTTGTAAAGTTAGACATAACAAGTTATTATTTTATATACTTACGAGGAAGAAACTGAATATTGATGTCTGAAGACCACATAGGGGAATATAATTTGATCCTGAAGGAAAGGTTTAATTAAGATTAACGACAGAATGGAGATTGGTAGTGTATTTCCAAAAAGGAAACCGGAATGAGTCACAACTCTGAAGAGAAACATTCATGGTATGACAATGTGTTCAGGGACACAAGTAGCCAGTCTGTCTGGAGCCCAGCATGGGAAGGGGAGTGCTGAGACCCCATATCAGAGGATGTAGATAGGAGCCAGCTTATGATGAACCATTAATGCCAGTGGAGGGAACTGTCCTTTACTTTTTGGCACTAAAGACTTGGAGCCAGATGGGAGGGTATCTTCTGTACCCTTGTACTTTAGATAGACCTAGTGAAGCCAATATTTGGGATAGAATTAAGAAATGAATGAAGGAAAGCAGAACAGACAGACCCACACAGGAATCAATGCTGATAGGTACAACATATATTTCAATTCTCAGGTAAGAGGCTCTAAGTGTTTTCTCATTTTAATATTGAACTATATATTATGAGTAAAACCAAACCCAGCTCTTGCTGCTTTAAAACATTAATAGAAGGGAGTTTTCATAGTCAATGACGTGAGAACTATCCAGAGTCATTTTATATGTCTGTAAGGATATGCAGGTACTATTGTTCTCTGCTTCCTTATTTCTTCCAAGTATTTACACAATAAATATTACTTAACACAGATGAATGTGAATCTAATGGAGACAAGTCAACCTTTGAACCTTCTAGCCATTTGATCATCAGGACAGATCTACCATCATCTAAAAAGGAAATTATAATTAAGTAGATCAGATTCTAAAATAAACAAGTTTCACCTTTATCCAGAGGTTAACACAAGGTAAAATGAACTGGAATTGCATTTGCTGAGGAGAAAACACTTTATATCCATGCTCAATTTTGGATAAAGAATGACCTTTTATTGCTTGTGCATTTTTCGATTTTTTAAACTAAAAAAAAAAAAAACCTACCTTAAATTTAATATTTGTAAAAATACAAATGTTACATTAAAGGAGATATGTACTTTTAATATAGTAGCCAAAAAAGTAAAATATTTTTGCATATGTACACATCTAGTAATAGGTAGACTCAGATAACATATGCAAATTACATGGAAGCGTTTATATATTAGTATAATGCAGGAGTTCTTTTAGTGGTGAAGGCTATTTGCACTGTGATTAACACTGCAAGCAATCTAAATGGAAACAGACCTCGATTTGAATAAATCATGTTTAATTAAAGACTAGATATAAATGTTCATAGAATATAATGTAATGAAATGAAAACTAAACATCTTTGTAATAAATCACATACATTTCTCTTTGTCATAGATCAAGACATTATCATTTCCAGAAAAAAGTCCTCATCTATTCCAAACATAGTGTAATATACTACATTCTTTTATAATCAATAAAAATTGACATAGCAGTCCCCATATAAAATAGGAATTTCTATATTTGGTTGTATTTACAGTTCATTTATAATATTAATAGCTATCATTTTTGAGGTTTTTATATGTATGACTGCTTCATGAGAATGATTTAAAAAAAACAGCCTCATTCAGAATTGGATTTTATAATTAAGACAACCAGCTGAGTTCTGATCCCTCGTTCCAAAAGCACAAAACTGCTACCTACCATCTTGTCTGACTGAGGACAATGACAAGAGCTGAACATGGATTTCCAGATATAAACACATGATGCTTTTTTAAAAGCAAGGTAAAGGAAGAAAGGAGAAGAGAAGAAGAGATGAGAGAAGAGATAATTGGTCACAAAAGCATGCATTTCTTTGAAAGAAAGAAGTACTCCACAAGGATTTCAGTCCCTTTGCTCTATTGTAACTAATTACACAAATTCATTCATACCATATGCGTAACTTAGACTCTGTCCTTTATCATTATGTTGCACTTAGCCTATCTTATACAGACTTATAAAGGTGTGTTGGTAGTCTACCCTCTTAGGCTTAGGTTTTTACTAATAGAAATAATGTCAACCCATACACACTTTGGAGACTTCACTGTAAGAATCCTCTTCCAGGAATTGACAAAAACATATTCATAACATCACTCTGAGTACTCATGACCTTATACACAACTGCATCCTGAGAAGTGTTCAGTTACTCCTAGTCTTTTTTTCTGGATCTTTTCAAACCCACCATTGTGCAAATTATAGCCCTAAAGCCCATGAAAATGACTTTGGAGTGGGAGGTTAGAAAGAATTTTTGAAAATCAAAATTATATTTGCTAGTTCCTTATTTGAGACTTCAAAAAAAATGGCTTCCCTTGGGCATAATTTCTTGCTATAGAAACCATGTCACTTCTTTCCAGATAATTATATTTTAACACTCAGTAATCCCATTCTTCATTATAGACTCTACCAGCTGGCCAGAGATGAAATGGAGATTTCTGGAGACTAATTCCCTGGGACCTCCTCTGGAGACTTTTAAATTTATTTGATTAACTAATTAATTAATTAATTAATTAGTTTCAAATTGTCTCACATTTGTAATATGTAGAGTAGGAGGTATAGAAAGTACCACTCCTGGTCCATCAGTGTCCCAGTTCATCCCTGAGTTTACCCAGAATCCTCAGGTTGATGTCATGTGGCCCCAATAGTGTAACTACATTTACTTGCCAACCTGGCTTAGAGTATTTTGAGTACTGACCACCATTTACAGAAGGTCATCCAATTCTTCTTGGGGTAGAAATCCATCTAACCTCCTCTTGAGGGGAGACAAAGATAACTTAATTCAATCATGAAAATACCTCCCAAGTACATCCAGGCCCATGAACATCAACAAGGAACAACGAATTTTCAGGCTGAGCACCCTAGTTTTCATATATTAAAAGGACACCATGATAAAGCCCTTATTTTTTTCTTTGCAAAGACATAATTTCTCAACTTCCTTATTCCTTTCTCTTAGGCTATCTTTTCTCCAGCAATATTGTTATTGACTGTTAATTAGCCG